CAGCCCCGCTCCCTGCACCTGCCGGTGCCGCGCCTCCCGCCCCTCCGCGGGACGAATCCCCGCGCAGCCCGCGCCCGCCCGGGAAGGGGTGGAGACCCCGGCCTCGCGCCGCTGAGCCCCGGCCGCCCGGTGTCCGGGTGCTTGACGCTCGGTGCCGCTCTTGTCTTGGCAGCTGGGCTTTGAGGACGTGATCGCAGAGCCGCGGACCGCGCACTCCTTCGACAAAGTGTGGATCTGCAGCCACGCGCTCTTCGAGGTCAGCAAATACGTGATCTACAAGCTCCTGACACTGCTGCTGGCCGTGCCCCTGGCCTTCGTCGCCGGCCTTCTCTTCGCCACCCTGAGCTGCCTGCACATCTGGTGAGAAGGGCACGCGGGGGGCACCAGCTCTCCGGCGAGGAGGGCAGGGAGATGCTTTGCCACCGTCCCTGTGCTTCCTTTCCGCGGGTCGGTCTGTGGAGGGAAGGACACGCCTCGGTGCTCCTGCAGGGGACACCTGGAAGCCAGGCCTGGGGAGCAGATCCACTCTTCAGAATAATGATAGTTTGGGCCGGGAGTTCTAACAAGGAGGAACGCGCCTCTTTCCTGAGCACAGTTTTCCTTCGCCGAGGAGGCCAACTGAGGTGGAGGTGGGGCGCTGGAAGCTGGCTTCCTGCCGCAGGCTGTCTCCCTGGGCCCTGCTAGGACTTGTCCCTGTGGTTCTGGGCGGGTCACACGTGTGCACGGTGTGCTTGAGGCAAAGCAAAAGTGATCACTAGAAGACTGCCTCTCACAGTAGAATTGCACAGCAGTGTCGGATTGGGTTAAGCAGCGCGGTGGCTCAGTGGCCGGGCAGCTCCAGTCCTGCTTGGCAGGTGGCAGGGGTGGGACCCCAGGAGATGAGAGGTGAATACATTGAAGGGGGAGCCTCCACCGCAGTAAAGGAAGGAAAATGAAGTAAGAATCAAGCTACTGGAATAAGCACTTCCCTGGCAAGCGCAAGGGTCTGAGTTCAATCCCTGGTTCCAAAAAAAAAAACACAAAAAAAACAAAAAAACAAAAACAATCAAGCTACTCTTCCATCTCACAGGCACAAATGGGAGTAGCATCCAGTTAGAAGGAAAAGATGGTTGGAAACCTAGTGGAGTTTGAAAGGGTGTTTTAAGTAGCTTTAGTCACATTCAGAATGCATCCTAAAACTTTAGAAACCATTTTTAAGCATTAAAAAGATTTAAGGAAAACTTTACATTCTGCCAAGAACTCTCGGTGTCCTTGTGTTAAAGGATATCCGCTTTATTCCAAAAAGGAGCATCACTGTATTTCACAACAGTTTTCAAGCAGATGCATCTGGTGAAATGTGTACCCCCCAGGCCTCTTCAAACCCCTTAGGTGACATGACCCCACCACAAGAAATACTCCGTGTCCATTGCTGTTACCAAATGCCTCGTCCCCTCAGCTCCGTGCACCTCCACCTGCACGCTTTAGTCAGCTAGCTAGCTATTGGTTTCACAAACTGTATCCATTTGATGTTGGCTGCTGGCCGTAGGCTGCTGTTTCAGCTTGCCCGCAGTTTAGGTTCAGGTATGAGTGCTGGGAAGAAGGACAAGGCAGGCTGTGTGAGGCCAGGAAGCCTAAAGGGGTTTAAAGAGTGAAAAGCAAGATCACCAGGTTAATAGAAGACAAGCAGAGGTCTGCGGTATCAGCACTGCAAGTTATAAACGGTTGCATTGCAAGCACCAGAGAATGAAGCCTCCGTGTATGTACAATGATCTGACTTCCCAAGCACATGGGTTCTTTAGCGATCCCTAAATCCGCTCATAAAATTTGGAACTCCTGATTAACTAAAATCAGTCATCTTCACCTCTGCCATCAGTTTTGTAACTTACAAGTTGTGGGGGGAAAAAGAGACACATTGCATATTGTGAAAATCTGGCTGCGCGGCTATTTGGAAATACAGTGCCGTATTTATAGCCAACAATGGAAGAATTGGAAAAAAGAAAGTTTTTACAACATAGTGGAAAGATATAAGTAAGACTAGAGTTAAGCCAATGATGCCTTTCTCCACCTTAGAAGGGGAAATGTTTTGGAGGTAGTTTTTTCCATTAGTGAATCATCAGCCCACATCCATTTAGCTACATAAAATGTATTATGTATGTATTTATTTATTTATTTACTCTGTGTTTAGGACAGGGTCTACAGGGTCTCACTATGTAGATCAGACTCATAGTGATCCTCCTGTTTTCAGCCTCCCAAGAGCTGGGATTACAGGCACTTGCCACTATGCCCAGTCTCACTGCGGTCTCAGCATGCCCCTGGAGGGTGGGGCCAGCACGGCACACTGGGGGTTGAACCCGCACTGTTGTGTCTGCCTGAGCAGGCGCTTAGTCCACTGAGCTATCAGGCCAGCCCCAAAATGCAGTATTTAACTTTGGCTTTTTTTTTTTTTTTCAAATTACGGTCATGTGAAATATCAATATTTCACTGTAATATGTTTGCCATCAGGCAGCTGTGATTGTAAGCACAAAAGTAATTTAAAACAAAAAATGCTTAAATGTTATGTTGTACCTTGATAAGAATAGATTCATTACTGGGTTCTGTTGCCATGGCATCTTAGACTGGATAAGAAGCCCTATAGAAAAGCTACTCAAGTTAAATTTCTCTCTTGTTATATTTTTTAAGGAAGGCATTAATTTGTGCCTTGCCAATAGGTTGATAGTGACCAAAGTTGAGGAAATACTCAACAGTGGAACTTTGAGCCAAGTCACAATCTTACCCCATATCTGAATTTAAATATTTTTCAGGACAATCTCCCTATTTTGCCCAGGCTTGCTTTGAACTCTGAGGATTCAAGCAGACCTCCTGCCTCAGCCTCCTTAATAGCTGGTATATACCACTGTGTACAGCTTGCTTATAGGTTCTTCGAAGAAATAAATGACAACAACAACAAAAACTCAGAAGCTTAATGATTATAGAATCCTAGAACAGAGGTGTGGTCATTAGGACCAGCGAACGTGTTTGATTCCGTGCTGCAGTCAAATATAGACAGCTACCACTTCGCAATTTGGTAAATAAGGTCATGGCCCATAAATGGATCATTCCCAGAGAAGTACCACCAGGGCATCTGTCCCCACCCCTCTTTTGCTGCAATGCCGTGCAAATACATGTCCAAGTTGGAAATGCAATGGTTGCAATCTCAATTCCAAATGTTCATAGTACTGTAAAAAGCTGTCACAGTGCAATGTGAATGACATTATAGCTACATAAAAATCCCTCATCAAGGGTAATTTGTCCTATGGAGAAGTATATAATTTTATAGCTTATAAATTTTATGTAAAAAGTGTTTCATTGGTCACAGCGAGCCCCAACCACATTTTCGGTCATTTCAGAATGTGGGTAGTTTCAGAAGAGAAACAACCTGCAGCGTTGACAGCTCAGGTTTGGTACTCAAAGATTATTAGGTTCTCTAGTCCAAAATGAAAGAACAAAGGAGGCTGGGGAGATAGCTAGTAGGATAAGCACTTACCTGGCAAGCGCAGGATCCTGAGTTCAATCCCAGTACCGCATCAACAACAACAACAGCAAGAATAAAAGCTTAAATCAAATAAAGTTAAGTGTTAATCACATTGTACGAACTTAATCTCTCAAATGTGAGCAACTGCATTTTGCTGAACTCAAAAGTCAGTTTTGATGTATTGAGTCCCTTTTAAGACAAGGAAAACTAAAGTTACAGGGATAAAAATTTCTTATCTAAAGAACAGACAGTGTACTATATCAGCAAACCTGATCTAAACTTCAGGTTTGTAATCTATCAATCTGAGATTATTTTACCATGCTGGTTTTCATTGTATATTCTGACTTCAAGACACATCTAACGGGGCTAGGGAGATAGCTCAGAGGTATAAGCACCTACCTGGAAAGCAGAAGGTCCCAAGTTCAATCCTAGCCCTGCACACATAACATGCTGGGCCTGGAAACTCCAGCTCACCTAGCCCCAGAACCAGATATGGTGGCGCACGCCTGCAATCCCAGCACTCAGGAGGTTGAAACAGGAAGATCGCTGCAAGTTTGAGGTCAGCCTAGCAAGACTCTGTCTCAAAAAAAGGGGAGGGGAAGAATATGGCTATTATTCTTCAAAATGGCAGCACCATGTGGACATTTGAAGGATACATAATAAATATCTTATCTGTAAATTTCCTGTTCTTGCCTTGATTTGTAGCAATGTGCCCTAGATCACGTATCAAATGAAAAACACAGCAGTGAAAGTCACAACTTGCCACCGCTCGGGTTTCTACTCAGTTGTTTAGCTCTGAAATACACCCTAATTAATTTTCTTATAAAACTGCTTCGGATATTTAGCACTTAGAACAAAACAGAAGATAAAAATAGTCAGTGTGGATAGGCAGTATGAATAATTCAGTATTCTAATAATATATCAATCAGACAAACAGTTACTGATCTGCTTACTTTAGGCGGAATACAGGAGACCTTCCTTTGTGTCACATTTTAATAGCAAATTAAGGAAAGAACTTCACTCTTGTGCCAACCCAGGTAGTAATAAAGCTTGCACAAAAGCTGCCAGCAGCAACTAAGAATTCACAAACATTTTCGTGCTGAAAGAGCGTAGCTTCCATATAGAACATTATTCAAAAGATGACATAGAAACTTCACCAGCCTGGGCAACATAAGAACATGCAGCTACAGGGACAAAGAGCAGACAAAAAACAATTTGAAGATAAAAGACTAGCTTTTCTCATCTGAGAGTTTCAACATTATTTGCAGCGTTACTTTGACTACCCCAAACAGAACTCGACAGTATGTGTAATTAGTATGAAAAAAATAATAGCACAGGGCATAATCATCTAAAGCCTAATTAAACATATAAAACATAACAAAATGCTAAATTTATTTCCAATTAAATACTTACGAAAGGTCAAGTTACTTTAAAAAAAAACACTTACATTCTAGAAGAAAATACAGGAATATACGTATTTATTTATGATATCTTTGGGTCAATTTGAGGAAGTTTGTTTCAGTATTTTAAAAGGACAAAGAGGGAGGATCCAACCCTGCCTAGTCCAGGGATTGGCAAGCAGAATTAAACAGGAAAGGTTAACAGGAAGCAGAGCCTTGGAAATGTGATGATTACTCAGGTTAATGTTTAGGGGCAAGATCAGCGGTAAACAGACTGTCTCACTTTTGTTACTGTTTCCAATAGCATTGCACCAACAGACTGTTAGCACCTCATCCTATACATGCCCATTTATTTTCAGTCAGTCTATCTTTTGCGTTTCTTGTCATTGCCCACTTGTTCTGAATTGCTCGATGAAATTTGAGTAAGCTCAGGCCTTGGGTCTTATTCATGTACAAGTGGTCTTACTGGGTGGCCTGAACAACCCTTATGTGCCCCTTTCCTCTATTTCAGGATCCTAATGCCTTTTGTGAAGACCTGCTTAATGGTTCTGCCTTCAGTGCAGACGGTATGGAAGACTGTGGCAGACGCCGTCATAGCCCCACTGTGCACAAGTGCAGGACAGATCTTTTCTTCTGTCAGCCTGCAGCTGAGCCATGACTGAGCGCTTAGACTCCAGGTCTGAGATCTGGACGTGTAATACGCCTTTCTTGCTATAACATAAATGTACTACTGTTCTATTTCTCAACTGCTCCGAACAAGAAAAGGATTGAGACGAGAACACACATTTAGAAAGTATTGGCAGAGTTCAAGTGATGTTTTTCCAATTCATGCCCAAGGATTTCATATCTCATTTTATAAACCAGGATCATTTGGAAGGTTAGCAACACTTACTTTTAGAGACAGGCAGCTTTTGCTTTACTAAATCAAGTACACATTTTCAACTAGTAAATCTGTAGTGATCAAGGGATACTTTTCTCAAAGTGCTAGGATAGTTTTGTGTACAACTACATAAAAACAAGGAGCTTCTTATTTTCTTATACTCCGAGAACTTTCAAAGTTTTAGCATTACCTCTATATTTTAATATTTTAAAATTATACTTTAATATTTTAAAATTACTTTTACAGACATAATCATGAGGCTCCCTAAAGTTGGTATTTCCTCACCTTGAAGAAGTAACAAAAGCACACAAGGACGTTACTGATACCAAGTAAAGCAACACAAATACATGTGGAAATAGATTCATGAAAATGCTTTCCTTGGAAGTATACTGTTAACCTGAAGGCCTATTTAACAAGATGTTTCATTTTACTGTATATTTTGTACTTAATATAAATGTTGCTCTAATTGGATTGCTTTATGATATTCGTTATGGTGTGAACGATGTACAGAGTAAGCAAACGTATCTTACGCAAGGCAACTTCAGGGAAGACACCTGCGCTGATCACTGAAGCCTTTATGTGGCTTCCGTGGAGAAGGGATGTAAAGCCTGGCATGTGACGTCCTCCTTTCTGATCTTCCCAAGCAAAATCTTAAACGTTTTTATGACTGACATGTTTCTGTCTGTAAAGTTAAGTCGCATCTGATTGACATGTTGCCTTGTTGTTAGAAATTAAATCTATCCTCTGCATTCCTGTGACTGTTTCACCGTACTCTCACGTGATACTGGTGCTAAGAGCATTTTCTGATACTGGTTATTTCTGATACTGCCATACAATTCCTACTACAAGGATGCATGGAGAGTCTTACAGAGAAGTCGTCAATGTGGGGGAGCCACGCTAAGGAGCTCTATGTATAAATTAAAAATTAACAATTACAAACTTTTAATAAGGATATGGATTTTGTATAAAATTATCCTGTAATTTTTGGACTGCGAGGTCTTATTTTAGTCTTAGGAGTTACTGTTATTTTACAACTCTCTTTTATCCTAAAGTGATATAGGTTTATACAACAGTGTCATTAGTGTGATTTGTACATCCTTACAGGGTTCTAAATGTGTAAACTTCAGAATTTCCATCAGAACATGAGTTAACTTTTCTTTGGATAGCCTTGTAAGTAACAGCTCTTAATTCAATGAAAGATTAATAAGATTTTTTCTTAAGTTGTCAGTTTGGGTGACTAAAAAGGATGATTGAACTGAAATACTCTTGGGAACAAGTCAAGTGAATGTTTAAATTGTGAAACCCATATCCTTTTGAAGGCAGTTACAGAAGAGACTTTTAAAACTGCCTTGAGACATTTAACATCCTTAGAAAAATACTCGTGGTCACGACTATCCAGTATCCCAATTCACATAGCTGTACAGATTTGATACCAGTTTAAAAGATCAATCGGTCTCATGACTTTATAGTTGTGCCTTGTATTTAAGATATTTGTTTAAATATTTGTATGTATTGATTAGCAAAAGGTATTTGACTAATAAAATATCTATTTTAATAAATCAAGAGCTTCATCCTTTTCAAATGGTGATAAGCAAATTTTAAAATATATATACTGAGACAAATAAATCTTTTAACTTCTAATATATGAAACAAAAGTTCATTATTTCTGAACAATGTTGATTACTTTCCAAATGCATTTTATTGAGATTTTTCATGAATTGTTTTATTTTAAAGATTCAAATTTTGAAAAAGCAAATTGAAATTTCATATGAAAATGTATTAATCCTTTTATTGTGGTAAGGGGAAGTACAAAAGAATTAATAAATATTCTAAAAACTCTTAAGTGTGTTCATTTTTTTTTTATTCATTTTATTGAGAAACATATAGCAATGAGACAGTTTCAGAACAGGTTAGTAGGACAGTTATGGTAATTAATACACTGCATATTGTTGTCTTCATAGTGGTTATTCAGAGTACAAGATGCAGACATGATATCCTGTGCAAACGCTATTAGTACAAATCTTTCTTCTCATTGAATTAAGAGAAAGTCGCTGTATATCCTATTTTGTATATGCAGATACAGAACGGTCCTTCCTTTGTATCCCTTTTCTTGTTTAGTCTTGCCAGAGATGGGCACCCCAGTGCCGTTTAAATGTCGTAGGCGCGTGAGTTCAGCAGAACAACCCAACACAGTCCCGCGGCCCATATTGTTTTTATTATATTTTCTCCTGTTCATTGCTTTCACTACATAAAGTGTGATGTGGATCAAAAGAACACATGCAAACTAATTTTAACATATTAAAAACTAATCATAAGTTATCAATACATGACTTATCACTTATTTTAGAATATATTTTAAAATTATGATTGATTGATTGATTGATTGATTGATTGATTGATTTACTACAGGGTCTACAGGATCTCACTACGAAGGTTGGACTCGTAGTGATGCTCCTGTTTCCAGCCTCCAAGTGCTGGGATTACAGGTGCGCCCCACCACGCCCAGACTCAATCGTTGTCTCAGCGCACCCCAGTGGCGGGGTATACATGGCAGACTGGGAATTAAACCCCCAGCTGTTCTATGTTTTAAGACAGGATCTTGCTACATAGCTCAGGGGTGGCCTTGGCTGCACTGTGTCACCTCACCTAGAGCTCACAGTGATCTAATCCTGCTGCTTCAGCCTCGCGAGTGCTGGGATTACAAGCCCACACCACCATGCCCAGTGATTTCCAGATGCTCCCCTTGGATGCTGTGGAGCTGCAGAGCAAAGAGCCCTGCGCTGTGGGGCAGACCTGAGACTCCACCCTCAGCACTGAGGAGTGTCGCCCTCTGCCAGTGGCTTCACCTTTAGCTCTCCATTTTCCTATCTAATGAAAGGATTGGGTTGTGTGTTCTCTGAAGACCTTCTCCTCCTCCTCCTCCTTCTTCTTCTTCTTCTTCTTCTTCTCCTTCTTCTTCTTCTTTGTATTTTAGGGAAGGGTCTACAAGGTGTTCAGGGTCTCATTACCAGATCCACCTGTTTACAGCCTCCCAAGAGCTGGGATTACAGGCATGCACCACCATGCCCGGTCTCTCAAGAGCTTCTTGAGGTCATTATTTCCTATGATTTCACTCGGTTTCAATTTGGTTATGTCTCTTCTAATGAATCTAGCTGTCCCACCCAGGAAATTCAAGAAGCCAGTGAAGTTCCTGTTGACTGCTGGGCTGGCGTGCTCCAAATGTACTCAACCATGTGTGTACTTTCCACTCTCCTATTGACAGTTATGCTGTGTCTTCTGCTGTGTCCTACATGACCTTAATTCCTTGATTTTTTTAATCAGTTTCACTAATATTTCCCCCCTAATAATGTCTCACTCTAGAATTTAATCAGGATTAATTTATTGGCAGGTTCTCTACCAAAAATCATTGCACCACTTGTGGCTTGGGTCTCTTTGTTTGTTTGTTTGTTTGTTTGGGGCTTTTTGTGTTTTTGAGGCAGGGTCTCTCTATGCAGCTCAGGCTGGCCTTGAGTTCTCACTTTGTAGCCCACACTAGTCTCAGACTCCAAAGATCCTCCTGCCTCCACCTCCCAAGTGCTGGGGGTACCGACGTGCGCCCCCACCCCTGGAGATGGCTTGGGTCCTAAGTACTCCCCAAAGGCACACAGGCTAGGGGTTTGGCTCCTGCTGCCCACACTTTCGGGAAGGTGCGGGAGCTTTAGGGGCTCACGGGATGGGTCAGCTCGTGGATGTGAGCCTTGAAAGGGGCGCTGGGACCTTGGCACCTGCCTATCGCTCTACTGTTTCCCCTGGCCGTGATGTTACAAGCGGCTTCCTTTAACCTCGCTCCCACGTGATCTGCCCAGCTGCAGGCCCAAGGACAGCGTGGGCTAACGTGCCACGTCCCGAGGCGCTCACGCCGCGCGACACCGAGCTTTCGCATCCGTCGTCCTCGCAGCTCCATCCCGAGTCCGGCTGTCAGCCGTTGCCTCCTAACGGGTCTCCCTCCCTGCCTCCAGGACCGTCTCCAATCTTGTTTTCTTTCTAAAACAAGCGACAGCCTCCAAACTCGGCGCCCCCTCTTTGCTAAAGCTCTCAATTGTGTGTGAGCCGGTTAAGCAGGTGCTCATCCAAATCGCAAATGCCACACCGCAGGCCCTCACTGCCAGTCCGTGGTCACCTTCAGCGCTCCTTCTGAAGCCCTGTGGAAAACTGGTGCCACCCCCGCCACTCTACCGTCCCCTGCCCACGCCACACATGCTTTCCCTCATAACTCCTGTTTCCAAAATTTTTCTACCTGAAGTACATTTTTAGTGCTTTTGTATACAGTCTTATGCAAGCCCCGATTATCATTTACCATACTGTAACATTAACCCTATCCACTAACCCTGTGAGGTTACCAGTTCATCCCCACTAGATTAAGTCGTTCAAACCCAACACATGCCTTCAGCTTTGCGGCCTAGGATTCTCACATGGTGCCCGGTGCCCTCCAAGCCCAGTCAGTGTCTTCCGATGAACGACTACAGGAGCACAGGGCTGGAGGGAACTGGAATAACGGCAAAACCAAGGCGGTCACAGGGCAACTTCATTTTTTTTTCTATTTGCAAAAGGAATTTGAAGTATTGATTCAAGTAAAATTCTCCTTCTCACCATTTTCTCTTTCATGAATCATTAAGATGTAAAAACTAAAGCTCATATAAAGCAAATCAGTTGTATTTCACTGGGGATGAGGAATGTCTCTTTAATCTTCATTCTCTTGCCTGAAAGTCACTTTCAGATCTCACAGTAGAAAATTCTGGTGTTTGGAAGCTTGCTTGAAAGTGTGTCTGTCTGTCTGTCTGCTTGTCTGTCTAGCTACCTATCTTATTATTTTACTTTACTAGTATAAATACATAATACCAGTTGGTACATCTACATAAAGCATCTTAATTCCTTTCTTCATCCCTTCTCCCTTCTCCCTCACCTTCTTCCACCCATTTCTTGATTCCCTTCCCCTCTGAGAATTACCCTATCTTCCTCCTTTTTTTCTTTTTGGTGGCCAGCTCAGCACACCCTCCGGTGGGGCTGGCATGCCATGTGGTGTCTGGGATGGAACTGAGGTCCCTGCACACTTGCCTCGGCTTGTCTAAGCAAGCACTTTAGAGCGCTAAGCTATCTCGCCAGCCCTACCTCCCTACTTCTTTTTATCTACCTTATATTTTGCTCTCTGATACCCCTTTCATGTTTTGGAGAATGTTGTTCTTCTTTATTAGTATAGGATACCATTGCCAACTTAGAATCACGTGTTACTGAAACATGATTTCTACAGAATTTTACATTTTATGAAAATAACCTTATACACTGTAATATTCAAATCACAGAGCAATTTAAATACCAGTGTGAAGTAGTACAAACAATGGCTTGATTTCTTTAGCTTGTAACTTTATCATTGCAGAACATTTATTAAAGAGATTACCGGATTTTTACATAGTTACATACTCACTAATTCGGTTTCAGTGACACACCTGATGCGATTTTCACCAACCATGGCTTGGTGTGTTCCTTCCAGGACATGTGCAGGGAAGCTGACAGAGGAGCTGGCAAAGGACACGGGGCACGCTAGATATTCAGGCCAGTGTTTCAGGAATAAAAATAATTTGGGCTTCTGTTACCTACTTATCCCAATGTCTTCTTTCTGTTCACCCATAAAGAGCAAAAGGAGCAAAGTAAGCCCTCCATTTGTCAAGTTTTTAAATCATTTTTTACTTTTCCTCTGGTTTCTTTCTTTGGATTATATCTGAAATGTGTCCTCCAGAAGCTTACACTTCGATGCTTTTGAAGAGAAAAATACGCCTTGAGTGGGGTAATATTTAGTGTTAGCTTTTATTTTAATGTAAATGCATGGTCCAAAGAGGACATTAAACAGTGTCCCATTAGGAGGGCCCTGAGCACTACAGAATACCAGAGATAGAGTGGAAGCCATGCCGCCCCAGAAGGCTGGGGGAGAGAAGCGGAAACCGGAGCATCAGGGACACGACCTTCACCTTCCAAGTGTCGCTCTGCACCCCTGCTTCAAAGCCCAAGAGCAGGGATCAGAGGAAACTGAACAGGGAGGAGAGAGGTGAAGCCAGCAAAAGAATTCCTTTTCTCCTTTTTTTTTAAAGGACAGTTGGTTTTGTCCTGCTGACTGAAAAAGGAAAGGCCTCGGGAGGGAGGGTGAGGGCTCTGCTGAAGCCACAATCCTGAAAAGAGTGCAAAGTGCAAAACTGAAAATGAAAGTGGAGTTATCACTGTGACCTTCTGGTTCTCTCTCTCTCTCTCTCTCTCTCTCTCTCTCTCTCTCTCTCTCATGCTCCCCTCTTCTACTGCCTGTGACACTTCTGTGGCGAAGAGAGGTGGCCACAGAGCACTCAGGAAGATCAGAGACACCACTTCAACAAGTATCCAAAAATAAGGTGGAGGCGCCTCTCAGCCTGCACTTGGACGTGGTAAGTCACCCAGCCTAGAGAAGTCCCCTTGCCATTGCAGGAAAAGGCAGGGGTGGAAAAGGGTGAGTGAAAGGGAGAGACGTGACTCAGAGCAGGAGCAGCGCCCCACCCAGGCAGGGCACATAGTTCTCGCAGCCAGAAGCAACTCAGGAAGAGATGGAGCAGCAGTCATCTCTGGAGCCTTCTTCTCTTTCCCTGCCTCCCATTCACCTGTCACGGGGCCCCTGGCAGTAACAAAAGGGGACAGAGGGCAGTAAGCAACTCCTGCTTCCCTAATTCAATAGCACACCAGTTTCAGCCAACTGCTGCCTCCGCTAACTGGGACAGTGAAACAAGGAGCCATTGGGAGGTTTGCAGGGTTGAGCGTCCCGTTTCTCAGGAAGTCAAGTGGCA